CTGGAGTATAACATTGTTTTCGTATATTTTATCTATCTCCTTCTTACTCACTATGTCTCTCATCTCACTAGTGCGCATCTCACGGGCATCACTTCACTACGTGCCCCTTCCTCTCAGGCGTATCTGTATCGGTCCGTTCAATCTCCCCTCCCCTACCCCCCCGGATCTGTCTCTGTGCATGTCTGCAAGTTGATTCACTATGGATCTATTTCCCTACCCTTTTCTAAGAGAAACGTCATGATACGCCGCGGCTCGTCAAAATACTTGCCTAAATGCATCCTGGGAAATTTCCCTTTTGCTTCCGCGCCGTGTTATTTTAAAAAGTTTTTCGTGTTGGCGCCGGCAACTTTTCCGATAAAGTGCCTGGGGCCTTCCAAGAAAGTGATCAAGGCTGTCCCGAGGCAATTAGTGGCTCTGAGAATGAGCTCGTTTATCATGTAATTTGAGCTGAATCCTTCCTTTCCCAGGCGAATGGCTTGTGTTCTGCCCATCGCTATTACCTCCCCCCCCCAGTACCAACCCACCTCGTCAACAATGTGCAAGCCAACAATCAGCGACCGGTGCTGTAGCCTGCCGTCGCCAAATTCGCCCACGACATCTGTCTTGTACTGAGTGTAGACGACACCTGCCGTACATGTACATGTACAGTCGCTTGTTGTGTCCGTTGAGCTAGCGGTGGTAATACTACTATGGATCACTTGGTGTTCGAAGACAAAAGACATCATCAGTGTGTCTACATCGGCTCTTCGCCCTTATCTTCATTGAAAACCGCAGTATACCTAAAAATGCCGCGCCCCACTAACTCTGTTTAGTCTTGTTACTACGAGTTGGCTCCACCTGGAGGTTCTTGCGTTTGTAGAACAAAATGTATGCTGCGTTGGACTTGACCTGGTTGGGCATCGCTGGCGCCACCAGACTGTCGTCAAACGAGTACCAACCCGGATACATCTCGCCTTCGTCCTTCCAGCTCTTGGCAAATGCGGTGTAGTGACCGAAGCCCATACTGCCATAGTGATTGCTCACGGCGAACAGGTCGTAGCTAAGATGGTCCTTGTCGTCGCTCTTTTCGAGACAGTACGGGGACATGTCTAGACCCTCCAGCGGGAAGTCCACGTACACATCCAACTTGTCGCGCAAGATTTCATTGCGATACTCGAACCGCTTGAGCGAAAGCACTAGCACGTCTGGTAGCCGCCACATCTCCATGGTTTTGCGTGCTTGTCGGTGCTCGTTGCACTTGCTGCAGTACCACAAATTGGCCTGGTCGAGCGTCTCCGGCTTGACAAAGTTCCGGAAACAATCGTCCAGAGAAATACCGTCGTGTCCACGAGATCCACTCGACTTAGCGCGCATACTCTCGTGATTGACAATCCGCTCGACGTCCGGTCGGGGAGAAGCCGACGATGACAACATCGATGGTGACCAGGCGACCGAGACGAACACTAACTCGCCCGGCAATTCCTCACCGTGAAGCGTGGCAAAATCCAGAAACTTCGAGTCGGCAGCTGGAGGAACAGGCTCATTGCGCAACAAGATGCCGTCGCGGTCTGTAAGAAACACGCATTGAGACAGCATTTTGATCGTCATGTCTTCACAGCGGTGGAACGCTCCGGCGGAAACGTTCTCACTTGGAGGCTTATGAGGAAGATGGTGAAAAAAAAGAAGATGAGTGGGTGGGTGAAGATGACGAACAAGAAGGAGATCATGACTCGGCGGAGGAGATCGCTCTAGCGGAGCAGAAGCCTCTCGCAGTGTCTGGCAAGAAAGGCATCTCCGACGTTGAGATCAGATACAAAATGCCCGATGTGCCCCTTGCTACTAAGTACAGAGGCGGCGAGTTCTATTTTGTTCGCGCGTGTTATGATGTCTACTATAACACCTTGCGTCCGGACGGTACTTGCCCAGAACGCGTAAGCGCATGTCGTAAGATACGGTATATCAATGTTACTACGTATTTGTATGGGTGCACTTTTTGACGTGAGGTTAGGTGCATTAATTTTCAACAGGTTTTTCTTTCAATGTCGTAACTCTGACGGGATTCAGCGACAGTATTGGGCAATAGCAGGCAATACATTGCCGAGGAAATATGAAAAATCCACAGTTTTTTTAAGGATAATCCACACCGACAGATCCACAGTCCACAACAATCGACGACATTGTACTGTAGCAGTGCAGTGTTATATTGACGTCATCGCCTGTAAAACGATGACGCCCTCGGAGGCTTAAGTACCATTGGTAATTAAGCCTCCGAGGGTACTACCAAGTACTGCTTGGTAACCAGTGTTTTATCACTCGAGAACTACCAAAGAAGCCCCCAATTTGTCGCTTGAGCAGCCCGCACCCCGTCCAAATCTACCCGCTCACAACAATCACGACGCAGTGCCTTCCCCCAAGCACGAGCTCCGCCACCACTGCCAGAAGAGTCTGAGCCGCCACCAGAAGCCGCACTTGCAACCCAAACGCCACCGAGGTGTCTGTTCCGTCGTCTGAAGCCTTGAAGACTCTGTTAACGAGTCAGTGTTGCCCCCAAGAAGCCTCGCAGTCGGCACCTACTTGCTGTTCGTCGTGAAGAGGCTGCTGCTTTCAGACGTGCGTTGTGTTAGACGCGTGAAGCTACAGCGTTGGTCCCCTCTGCTGGCGAGTACCTCAACCACATTTACGACTTGACACGACCTGTGTG